TTAGAGCGAATGAAGAAGTAACACACCTTCAAGTCCAAACAGAGAAGAGATTTTTTTTCTCTAAATGATGACTAATATGTTGTTTTCCCTCTCTCGCGTAATCATCCCATTTGGCCACCGCCGACAGCACAGAGCTCGTTCAAGATGTTTATATACGACCAATAAATGATGCTTTACCATTGAAGGCTGAGCAACATGATGGAGACTCCAAAAACCAATAAAAATAAATGAAATATGTATAATAAAGGAAATGGACAATCGTTGTGCTATTATTTCATAGGTTACTATACATTCTTGCAATCTTTTGAGGACAAATAAAATCTGAATGAAAGTTAGCATTTAGCCTAGCACTAGGATTTAGCAGTTAGCATTTTCTGGCTAAATATCATAATGTTTCTGAAAAGTGCTTTATGGTCACAGCAACTAACTTTTCGAGTTACTGGTGTCCACAGCAGTTAAATATACACTTATGCTGTGAAAAATAGGGTGAAAAATTCAGTCAATAATTCATTTCTGTACAACTAGATTTGGAGCATTGTACAAGAACAATGTGAAACAGAAAAAATAATATCGGGCCAACGTTTGACCTACGACATATTAAAAGATGAAGCATTCCTTTCCCCCTGTAATGACAATTTACCAATATTTCTTGTGCTTCCCCAAATCACAGAAAATGCTTGAAAGAAAATGTTCTGTGGATTTTCAAGAAAACATTTGAAAAGAAGTAATTTGTACCAATAAAGTCCAGGATCCAGCCCACAGTGCCGTCGCCTCCACAGGTCAATACTCTAAAATCAGGAACATCTCGGAAGAAGTTCAAACTGCAACGATAAAAGTTTATGTTGTTGAAACAGAAATTTATATTGCCCTCTAAAAAATAGTGTCCTCTAATTTTTAGAAGACAAAGTGGTAAAGTGAACCTTATCTTTTTATTTCGGTGATCAGCAAGAAAGTAATTTTTACATTAAATAATGATTCAAAATTTCTAAGATTTCTTCTATTAATAACTTCGTTTTTATTACAGTTTCCTGTGTTTGAGATTTTGAACAACATATTTTTTAAAATAGCATTTTACTTTACTGCAAACTTAACCTAATCTCACCAAAAAAAGAAAAAAAAACACATGTCGCATTGATATTATTCATTCAGTGAGGTACACTGTCTGTTCAGGGACTAATTGGATCATGACAGGCAATGTTCAGTCCAACTTCCTCCGTTCCTTCACAATAACAAAGCCCTAACTGAATGAGCCAGCCTCGCTGCCTCGTATGGCGGGTAAATGACTCGCTCAATTAGTCTCCAACTGGGGCCACAAACCACATTAGACACAAAAACAGACGGCCGTGAACATGAAAGGCAACTTTGGGGATATTTAAATACCAAGAAACAAACACTTAATTTGCTGTAATTTGATTATAAAGGCAGCTAATTGACAGCAGAGTACGCGGCTGCCTGGGCTACAGTGTCCGATGGTGACTGCTCACCCTGCTAAAGTGAGTTCACTTGGCAAAATATTAACTAGGTTAAAACTGGGGAGGGTCATCACGTATGCTGTCAGGATCTCTGCATCCAGAACCAGATGACGTGTTTGGTTCTCATCAGAGGAACATGAACAAAATGAAGCTGCTGGTGCTGAAAGCTCCACTGTCTTCTCAGACATGCAGTCCAAGCCTCTTGGATCCCTTTTTTAAGCAGCAGTGTGCTGCTGTTTACTTATTTTTTATAAATCTAGAAGATGCTGTTTTTCAGGTCTAATCAAAGCCAAACAACATGGTAGCACGGCGGCGAGAAATTCCTGCGTGTCCCGAACGCTGCTGGACGCAGGCGACAAAGTGAAGGAGCCTCTTGCATGTAAATGATCCATTCATTTTCTTAATCACAAACGTGAACTGCAGGGGACCCGGCGCCGTCCACACCACCGGGCTGCGGCGAGATGCTTGTCTGCATGCGCGATCACATGTTGTGTGGCAAGAGCTTCACTCACTCTGCATCCGTCAGTCATTTGTGTCATGAGCTCTCATATAGTCTTGTGCATACTGAGCCGCTACTTGTCTGCGGATCCGGCTCGGTGCGGTCGTCTCCAGGATGTTATATGTGAACTCACCTCATTTGGGTGTTTGAGGGAGGAGAAACTGGAGGCTGTAATGCTAAAGGCCTCGCTTGCATGTGATGGGATCATTATATGTGAGCAACAACAGAGCGTAAACAGAATGACAAATGGATTGTCTTATTTTTTTCTTTTAGTTAAATGCAATCCATTCCTGTTAAGATTACAAATATATTTTTTAAAAATGTGTCATTTTCCAAAATATAACCTGTCAGGATAACAAATCTTGCTGTACGATTAATTATCCCAGAAGTTATTGCAATAAGCGATAATGTTGTTTTGAGACCATTTTAAAGTGATTTAATGGAAACGGCATAATAATGCACGCACTCTTAAAGATCAATAAACTTTAAATTCTCAAAATCATTTAACACTGGAACTGGAAGATGTTTTATGTATCTAAAATAAATAAACAAAACAACAGAAACAATAAATAAAATTACTTCTGAAGTGTCTGTAAACAAAATTGACCTGAAAAAATGGCTAGTTGAGACTAAAACACCAAATTTTGTCATCCAGTCTTTGGTAGAAAGAGAAAAACAATAAGTTATGCAAACAGAAATCACACCATTAATTGATTGATTGTTATGACAGGCCTGTAAGGAGTCTTTGTTTATCATTCACAATATTGAAATGGCATTTGCATCGACATTTAAGGACAAAAACATTTTGCAGGACATGCAAAATGTTGGTTTTTACTGCAGATATCTTAGTACACTGGAAATAAGACAAAAATGTCTTACAAGTAACATTTTAGCCAGATATGAAAACTTGTTCTAAGTTCTTAAAATTGATGAAAAAATACTGGCAGATTATTTAACATATAATGAGGAGAATGTCTTCTTAAGTCAAATAATCTGCCAATGAAATTAGTTCTTTTTCATCAATAATATTGTTGACTTAAGTCCAGCTCCAACATCTTGCTTCAAGTTACTTATAAGCTATTTCAAATGTACTAAGACATTTTGACAAGAACCTAGACCAAAAATACTTGAGATTTTGTGTTCTTGCAGTGTAAAATCCACCTAAATTTTCTGACTTTATTAGTTGGAACATCAAATGTACCTTAACAGCTATTAATACACACAGAGAAAATTATCTTAAGCTAACATTCACTGGCTTCCTTATCTCGCTCATGGGGAGCCAATCAGTGTCACAAAAAAGTGCTGGCGCTCCTGGATTGGTTGCTTTGCAAACACCAATTGCAAAGCAAAGAAATTAAAATCTGCCTTAGCATTAACTTCAGAGTTAGTCCCACAATGGGTTCTTTTTGCCTAAAATGGGAATGAATATAAATGGAAACTGATTTAGCAGCAGGTTTTTTCCAACATACCCCGGCATTGGTCCATTCTTGGCCAGGTTGTACACTTGTCTCGGGTTCAGGAGGTACTGGAACTTTCTATAAATTCTAATAGAAAAGAAAAACAAATCAGGAAACAAAGCAGTATAATAGCTGACTGTCACATGCTGACTTGGTGAATGGGGGGAAACACAGAGTCTTCTCTGATCAGACTGACACGCCAGAGGACTGGACAGCAAGGCGGAAAAACGTCTAAAGTCCCCTTGAGGAGAAACCATTAGAAAGACTAATTCATTTTAATTTCAATTTCATTATATCAACTGGCTGAAGTCATATTTTGATCTCATAATTTAAACAGATGAGGGCCGGCATAATAAGAAGTGAATGAATATGTTTCAGTAATAACCCAATTAGCCCTGGGTTACAGAAAGGGACTGAAGCCGGCAGTGAGAGGAGTTTCTCTCCGAGGTGGCCGATGCTTTAGGTAAATCAGATTGTGTTTTTATTTGACTAAGTCAAAAAGCAGCTGTCAGCCCCGCGGCCATGCTGCTTCCTCCCCTCTGTAGCTGCAGAGCGGGGCTTCAGAGGCCCCTTGTAGCATGTTGAGACAGGTTGTGTACTTACCTCTCCCCCTGCTTGCCCCCGCTCTTCGGATTGACAAACACCAGCAGAGGATGAGTGCCCTCTATTGTTGTGATCTGTGTGGAAGATGTCAAAACAAAGCCTCGGTGTTTGGAGACTGCAGGATGCTTCACAGGAATTCACTTTCAAGCCGTATCCCTCAGACATTTTATCAAGTATATATGGCACTTCCAAGTGCTGCACTGCCTGCCTGCATTCTGCCCAGATTTCCTGTGAACCGGTCCAGTCCGGGAACGGGAGCGCTCTATAGTCTTCTAAGTGGAAACCTAAACTTTTCCCTTGAAATTTTATTTATACGGTCCATTTAAAAGAGAAGGATATTTTCAAAAGTTGTCAATGGGTTTTAGGTTAAGCTCAGAAGAATGAACCTGAATATAAATCTTTTGAAAATGGAGAATGTTGCATAAATGCAAAACCCTGACCCTAAATTAGAGCCGCAAACATTTCTGTATTTTATATGTTCAAATTGATATTGTATTAAAGGATATAAAAACGTAAAAGAGTTCCTGTCAGCCTCTTGCAGATTTTTTCACACCATTCCATCCTGGAAATGATGGATTCTGTGTAACAGGCAGAAGTTGTGAATCTCTGCAGCTCCTCCAGAGTTACCATGGACCTCTTGGTTGTCCAGTCTGTCAGTTTAGGTGGACGCATATGACTTGGTAGGCTTCTACTTGTGCAATACTCTATTTTTGTATGATGGCTTAAATTCTTTAATTTATTCAGAGTTTGGAAAATTATTTTGGAATCAATCTGATCTCTGCTGTTTCTAAGTCTCTGTGATGTTGTTTTCCCCCTGATGTTCACAAAACATGTGGAAAAATACAAATATTAAAGGGGCCTTATTTGGCAAAATTCACATTTTTGCACATTATATTATTCTACTGCTTCTAACAATAGGCAAAGTACTTAAAAATACTTCATGTTTTCCAAACCTCCTGATCTTCAGAGCTCCAGCACATTTGGGCAGCTGATTTTACCTTTGTATGCACTGTACAATATGGCTGCTGGAAAAGATAAGCGTTTTGTTGTTGACTTACTATTCTTGTTGGTTGTGCAGGAGGCTCCGGTTCTGCCCCCAACATTCAGTTGGGAGGTGTGGAAAGCAGCAGCAGATTATTTGGATTTAAGGTGACAAGAGGCTCTAACATCTGATTCTGAAAGGAGCTCAAAATGGACAAACTTTCTTACTTGTACTAAACAGCTGCCTTGGCTTGAACTGATGTCAGCTTATAGCCCATGATCTATAGAGTCAGTAATAAAAAGTCGCATTTACAGACACAAATAAGCGCAAATATAGCAAATATTTCAAAATTAGAACCACCAACAAATCACAATCACAAAATAATTGTAAAATTCTGGAAGGACTGAAAAGATGCTCAATAATATTTAATTTGATAAATTATTAATTAGGCTCAAAATGTAAATGACACCCCTGATCTATAAACCCATACAAACGTGATGAAGGAAGTATCATAGGTCATAGGTGAGAGGTTGTTGGTACAATGTAACAATACCTTGTCTCAAATATATGATCAGACATAATCTCCCAGTTTGCCTGAGGTTCTGGACGCGGTTTGAGCCTCAGGCACACGCCCCGTTTGAACTGTCCTGCAACAACTCGCCCAGTGCTCTCCCTGACACAGATGAAGCACTTAACTCCCCCTGTCTGCTATCCCAGCAGGCCGAGGGTGAATTAATGAGCTCCCTGTCCCGTCCAGAGTGATCCATTACTTCCTGTAATTATAAATAATAATCTTGATTATTACGCTGGTTAGCCAGCGAGAGGCAGAGATGGATGTGGCCAGGATTTGATTCATCGTATTTCTCTCTCCTAAAGCCGCGCGCAGACGAATGCTTGCCGTAGACGGCGGCAGGGTTTCCATCGGCGGCGTGCTGGCACAGGATCAGGATGTTGATTATGGATGATGCTGATTACCAGCAGGACTGGGGGTGTTCACCAACTGCAGAGGCTCACATCAAATCTTAAGATTCGACAGGAAACTGGCTTGATATGCTGATAATGAGAGGCGATATCGCTGTCTTTACACCACCTGTAGCTTCTCCAATCTTACTGATTTAAAACTTTGGATCAAAAGTTCAAATGAGTTTGGGTGAGATATGGTAGGCTATAAAGACGTCATCTATTTTACACTGCTTATTTTCCTCTTTATCAGCTACCTGAGTTAAGATGCATAAAATGTCAGAAATAATTTTGTTTAGCTACTTTCCAGTTGCCATTTTGTGATTTAATAAGATAAACACACATAGGACTTACTTATAAATCATGTCCCTTTCCATTTAAAAAAGTAACTGGGATCATTTCAATTACTCCTCTGAAAAATTGTAAAGTATAAATAAAAAATAATGCCTCAGTTACTTTATTTTAAATTATTGGTGGGAATTTATAGGGATGGAAACATTCAAGTTAACGAGAAAAATGCTTTTTCCCTTCCTGAAGAGCATTTTTCACATTGAAGTTTGGGTATTTTTTAATGTGAAAATTAAGAAGAAGAAGAAGAAGAAGAAAAAGAAGAAGAAGTTTTATTTGTATAGCACTTTTTCAGACAGTGAAGGTGCTGCAATGAAAGAAAGCACATTTTTACAAGACCTTCCAATGAACGCATACGATAGTATTGAGTTCTAATAATTCTGATTTCCTTTGGTAAAAAAAATGTTTTTTCATTGTCATCGATTTTTATAGCAAATTCTTGACACAATAATGAAACTAATTGATTTCCACATATTTACTGGGTGAATTTCTTTGTACTTATGAACTGAAATGTCAGTGAAAGGCAAGACATGTGAACAACGTGAGGCTAACCTGCAATCCTTGGCCGTCCACTGTGACAGAGTTCGCCCTCTGCATCTTTCCTCGACTCGACTGACTGGACCTCGAGTCCTTTCTCAGAGTCGACTGTCGTTCCTGAAGTGACACAGCAAAACAGTTCAAGGTTTGACTCCAAACAGCAGCACAAAACAAGATCCAGATATCAGAACTAATTTCTGCTTTTTTTGCTATGTTTTACTTTCCAACTTTTTCAACTACTTCAGGTTCTTATGCTTTGTTCTGCTTTTTCCGCGTCAATCATTCTGCAGATATTACGGCGAAGTTACATCGCTTCGTTTAGCACCAAAAACTGAAACGGGGATTTGCTTCAAGGTGGAGCCTTTCACTGGCCTTAATTTGAGCTCATTTAATTTACTACCTTTCACTATCGCGCCAAAACCCTGCACAACGATGTGGAAGAGGATTAAGACCACTAAAAATCAAAGAAAAAATGAAAAGCTCTGAATTTTTTCTCGGAATATCAATGTTTCATATCTTGCAAGATTAAAGTCAGAATTCTGAGAAAAAAAGTCAGAATTTTTCTGGAAAATTCTGGCGCATTGCTTGAAAACCATAGCAATTTATGTAAGAGCACACAGAAAAAAATACCCCCTGCTGAAAGCTGTTGGTAATATTGGTGCAGATCAATGAATTAAAACAGACCTGAATTCAATAAAATACAAAAAAATAAAATAAAATATCCACAGAGGTCAAAGAAGTTAGGCTTAATACTTTCCTCAATAAGGGGTCACAGATATATTAGCAGATAATTGCCCATCAAATGAATTTCCTTAATGTTAGTCAATTCTGTGCTTGTGGCAATAAAGGTAACTGCAACCTGATATCAAAAATATTCTATTTGTATTTATCGATATTCAACACTTTGGATGGAGCAGCAAGCAATTTCCCATTGGTGATCAATAAAGTATATTTTATTCTATTCAAATTATTGTCAAATTCCTTCTTGCTGCTTTAGTTGGATCAGTATGAATTTAGTGTGATTTGCTTTTTGAATTGTAGTGGAACATTTTAAGATTATGATTAAGAGTGAAACAATGCATAACAGTATAATGATACTTGTGTAATGCACATGTTCATGAGAACGTCTTCTGAAGCTACTTATCGGGTCTTGGTATTTCAATAAAGTTATTAAATTGTTTCTTCTATGCTCCCTTCTATGTTTCTTCCATGATGTGAACCTTTCAATAAATACCAGTTAGGAATAAATTATTTATCTGGTTCTTTGTTTTTCCTCACTTTTGTTAAAGAAAAAATTTCCACAACATAATCTAGTTCAGATTAATTTAATTAATTTTCATTTGTTTATTTTTTATTTAACTTTTATTTATCTATTTATTATTTATTCATATTCAGTCATATCAAATTACTTACATCATTCTTAGATATATATGTATATTTTATAAACCTTATCTCTTATGATTATACTTGTATAATTAATATTTAACACGTCAGATGGAGTAACTTGTCAATGAATAAGTAATTTCCCCTTGGGGATCAATAAAGTCTATTTTATTCTATTGTATTGTATTCTATTCTATTCTAAACCAATTTGAAGTTGAAAATCGAACCTTTTTTCCCCAAAATAAAAGCGAAATCTGCAGCTGATTAGAAAGAAAGTTGAGTTATGGTGGCTCACTTTCATCCCCTTCAAACACACTCATGCAATTTTCAGAATAAAGTCCTAAAAAATAAATTGCTGCCACTTCGAAGCACAGTAGGAGAACTCAGGTCTGATGATTGGATCATCAGGTCTCGAAGGCTCTCTGCCTCAAGGCCCGTTGACCAGAACAAGCGAAGTCTTACCAGGACGACGGGGCAGATTGAGTTTGGGGGCAGGATGTGATCCTTCAGGGGTCCGCAGTCACACTCAGGTTTGACGTGGGAAGCACACTTGTTATGGAGCTGGAGGAGGTGGAAGCTATTATTAACAACCTCAAACTAGTGGCAACAGAAATAAATATTTCAGCTGAATTTTCAAGGTTTATTTGCAAATGCACACATCGCCGTCTCCGTCTTATTTTCTATTATCTTAGAGCTGCAAACAAGTGTTTTCTGAGTGTAAATTGGCAAAATGACTTGTGAGGTATCAGAGGTGCCAAAATGAAAGCCTAAACAACAAGAAGCAGTGGGAATATAATGAGGAGGTGGCTGCCTCTCAGTGAGGGGTGGCTTACCGTGATTTGACACCACACACAGTGGAGCCCAGTCAGTCCCTGGTAACACTTAATGGTTTTGTGACACTTGTCACACTTGGTGGGGCAGTTCCCCTCCACCCAGAAATGATGCATTACCTGCAGAAAGGAGGAGAGACGGCATACTGGGTGGAAAAGCAGCGAGAAAAAGAAACGTGGTGCAGAAAAACAAGATGTATACAAAGGTAGAAGTGACACGGCAATTAAAGAAAGCAGAAAGGAAAGAAAACAATCAGGAGGAAACGAGAAATAAAAAAAAGAAAAGGAAGACAAGAGGCCAAACGAGTGATGATGTGTGTGTTTTAGAGTTAAATATTATCCTGGTAACAAGCGATGCTTAATAACAGATTGAATAATATTTGTTGTAGCAGAAGATCATTGTCAGGACTCACCTCAGTGTTTTTCTTGGATTTCACGTACGTTTTGATGCAAGAAAGTGGAGCGCGAGCCACACAGCGCTCATGGACCGTATACTTGCAAACTGATAAAAGACAGAATAAAATAAAACGATCCATAAAATATATACACCTCTGGAAAAATTGAAAACCATTGAAAACCTCCTGGTTATTTCACCAAATATTTAGTTCTGGGCTCTTCCTGAGTTAAAACATTAGTATTGTTGTTTCTAAATGAATATGAACTTTCTTACTTTTCTGCAAATAAATACTAAATCTTAACAATCCAAACACACTGCTGAATCAGCACAGAAATGGTTAACTGCGCATCAAAATCAACCACTTTAGACTGTGTTCACACTGTTCATACTTCTAAATATATGAGGCTTGTTTGTGTTCTCCAGTGTGAACTGCAAACAACCTGAAAGTGTCCTGCATGTGCAGTAGAGGGCGCAATAAGGCCCCACATAGAGAGCATGCTCAGTGCTTTGACAACATACAACTTCCTCATTATAGTCCACCATGATTGTTGATTTTCTTCCCGCTTTTTGCGTATCAGGACACAGAATAGGGACATTTGTAGAGTATCAATGATGTTCATGTCGGATGAATGTGACCTGACCGTTCAGATTCAGGTCATATTTGAATAGATGCGTATTGAACACCCAAGTGGCCTTGTGGAAAAAAAATGGATTTTCCTCAGACTGTCATGAAAAGATCAAATACAGGTTGCATTACGGCAAAACAAAAATTGGAATTGGGTCACTTTAGGCTGCAGTGTGAATGCAGCCTCAGTTGCTGTACATAAATCATTAGAAAACTTCAACAGATGAGAGAATCAGTGAGAATCCTGAACTCTGCAAACAAAAATACCCAGAAATCCTTCTCTCTGTTTGATCTATGCTACTGCATTAAAACATTGTTTTCAGATGGGAGGTTTTTATTAGAAACCAAATAAAAGTGTCAAAGCAGCCAAGCAGTGGAAGATTATTTATGTATTTAGAGATGAAATGCTGAGCGTCAGGCGACAGACTCACATGAGCAGCAGAGTCCCTGCTTCCCCAGCCCAATTAGCATGTTGAGACACAGGTTACAGTAGGCGGGTTTGTTGAAGTGCTTCAGCCTCCACACGTGCTGCCCATCATCTTTTACATTCTGAACAAACAAACACATCCATTACTTACTTTATCATGAACAATTGTAAGAGCTTTATTACGTTTCCATGTGTTTCTTATAGTGGAAGACAGTACATTATTATTATCATTATTATTATTATTATTATTATTATTATTATTATTATTATTATTATTATTATCATCATCATTATTATTGCTGTAGTAGCAATGAGAAAGACTCTGTAGGAAACTCTGAATTCAGTTTCAGTTCATTTATTAGAAATATTTCATTGATTAATTCATTCATAAATAGCAATGGAGCGCTGGTTGGGACTTTAAATGAAGACAGAGAAATGCAGCCATCTAGTGGACAATGTAAGAATTACACCCTCACAGTAAGGATGAGAAAGTTGTTCTCTAATGTAATTTCTCTTGTTTTAGACTCAATAAACAGCTTTTCTGGTTAGCTAATAAAGCATTCTGCTCTACTTTTGTGACACTTTTGATTGAATTCAGATTGTTATGCAAAAAGGCAATTTAATTTATTCCAAAAATGTAATTTAAAAATTTTGTATCAGTAATGGTAAGCAGACAATCTCTCAAACAAGAAAAAAAGGTCTGCACCCATCATCTTTTTAGCATAAAGATGGCCTCACCTGAAAACGTTCAGACCTCAGCCCACACCATTTTTATCTCATCGCTGTTATCAGTGCGATGAGATAATAACAGATATGAATTGTGAGACAGATATGAATTGTGGGACTATCAGAGACAACAAATAGCCCTCTCATACGCTTCAAACGGTTTTCTGGTACGTATCACGGTTCCCAAACAGGAAGGAGATGTTCGGATTGCTTTTTTTAGACAAAATGGCTGCCTCAAACTGACAGAATTATGTCTCCCCCGTTCTGACTCACAGCTGGCAGAGGATCCATTACCATAGCAACGGAACACAGCAGGGCAGAGCAGCTGATTAGGACTACAAAAACGCATCACTGTAGTTCTAACTATGGCGGAACACTCACAAAAAAAAGAGGCTTGAGCTGCCATTTACAAGTTTTGGGCATTTTATAACTGATTTAACCCAATAACTCTTACACTTGGGATTAGTTTGGCAATTTAAAATTAAGCTTACTGAAAAATTTCAAAATAAAAACCTTCACATTTTTTTATATCATGCCATTGCTCTTTTGGCCATTATATAACTGACTTAACTGGACCACTGTTACACATGGGATTAGTGTTGCCATTTTAATATGAAGCTTACTGAAAATTTCAAAATAAAAGCCTCCATATTGCTCTGAGATTATGTTTGCCTGCATTATCCTTTTCTCTCAGGTTAGGGCACTGTCTTGCAAGGCATAGCATTAGCATTAGCCTTTTACCTTAAATAAGGTATTAGCTATTTCTCCTTCTTATTAGCCATGTTTAGCATACTGAATGGAGTAAGTCAGTTACAGACAACATGCTAGTGATGCCCCATATGCTACTGACAGTATTCACGCTAACATTAGCATTTTGGCTAATTTTAACATACTGAATGGCTCAAGCCCATGTTAGTCAACATGCTCGTGACTCTCCATGGACTACTTTGTAATTCTTTAGCTAAGCTTAGCATTGATGCTAATTTTTACCATTAGAACGCTGGGTCCAAACCAAGGGGCACACTTTGGCAGGCTATGGTTAAATTTCTTCAGGAATTTTCTAATTATTCTTATCACTACTATTTCCATGAAGCAATTAAAGAAAGAATGTGTCAAATTTAGATTAATTAACATAATCACCTAGCAGGACAGATCTGAAATGAGGTTAAACAAAGAGAAGAGGTGAGGGTACTAAAGCTAATTTACGCTTGTGAGGTGTAAGACATTATATATACACAAGCTCTTAAATAATTGTCTTATGAATGTGTTTTTAAAACTGTCAAATGTTTCACTGTTCAGTTTTTTTCTTTTTTGCATTATTGTAATAGAGAAATAGCAGAGGCGGTAAATTAAGAGCAACAATTAAACACTGATTGATAATTAAAAGGTTTGATGACACACTGAGGAGGTAATTTCCTCTGATGTCAAATGAAAATAAAAAATGATGGAAAATGTAAGAAATTAAGCAAAACTTCAATATCATCATTTGATTGTCATCATCATTTGATGGCCAAGAAGTGTTTTTTTTTTTTTACCTGCTTTTGCAAATTTCATTCAAGTTTTCTTTAATTTTTTTTCTGTATCATCAGTGGTTCCTGTGTGACCTCACCGTCTCCAGACCCAGCAGGACCAGCAGTGGGATGGTGGTCAGGCCTCCTTGGATCCACTCCCCCAGGGACACCGTGCCGTCCTGATCATAGTCAATCTCCTGCATCATTTCCTGGAGGATCTGTGGCATAAAACAGTTTGGATTTTCAGTTACAAACTGAAATGTCACACTTATAATTTACATCTTTGCTCCACACCTTTTGGCACGGCCACTAAAACTATGTATAATAATTTATATTCATCCAAAGACACAGAAAGCAACGCACTAGTTCACTAATGTTGTAGAAAACATAAAAAGTAATAATAAAGTATAATTTACTAAAATCCATTTGATACACTAATTTAATTGAAAACACCAAAAATTGTGGTACAAAAAAAAAATCTTACCAAGTATTTTTGATCTAATTTCTAGTAAACTTGAAATAAGGCAAAACTAACTTCATTAAGAAACAGGAACTTGTTTTAACTGATAATATTGATGAAAAAGTCCTCGTTCCATTGGCAGATTATTTCACTTTTATTTGAAGTATATCTACTCGTTATACTTGAAATAATCTGCCAATGGAACTAGGACTTTTTCGTCAATATTAAGGAATTATTTACTTAAAAGAAGCTCATGTTTCTTAGTTTTGTCCTCTTTCAAGAGTACTAGAAACGAGATAAAAAGTACTTGGTATGATTTTGTGTTTCTCTAATTTTTGTAGAAAACAACACAGTAATATTTTGAGTCACATTAATTGTTTTAGTGTAGTTACAAATCTTACATGTCACGCTCATAATTTACATTTTGGAACCTCCAGTAAAAATGTTCTACGAATTTTTCCTCCAGTAATATACATATTAAATATTTATCAAATTTATTCATCGATACAGAAAATATGATACAAATTCAAGGTTTTAAGTAACTGATCAACTTAAAAAAAATTGAAGTTATTTAATTCCTCTGATTACACTGATTTAATTGAAATTATGGTAAATGTTTTATAGAATACAATATATTCTTATTTTGTAATTGTTTTTCCAGTGAGTAAATGCATGAAATTAAATGTTATATTCTTAGAAATATAACAGGCATGCATGCAAAATACAAAATTTTGCATGCATTTCCCAGAAGTGCTACAGTTTTCATCAGAATACCTCTAAAATGAAACATGTTTTCTAATGTATTTTTCTGGCAAAACATTGTTCTTACTGGTTTGAGCTCCGTCACGTCCCATTCCAGGTACTCTGCTACGTGCATCATCTGGGAGATAATGTGCTCCAGCTCCTGCATCACAGACGGTCATTACAGCCATAGAAATACAGTATTTACCTTCCAGTATGGAGACTGATAAACAGCTGGTAATAGCAGGTTGGGAACACGTGCAGAAGAGCTGCACAGCGGGAAATAAAGGCGGCATGGGAAGAGCTCCTCGCCTGATGGTTTAATTACAGAGAGGTTGACATTTGTGTCTGGTGCCACACTGGATTATCAAGATGCTCAGGACAGTTTTGAAGTGGAGAGAGAAGAATCTCAGGTTTATGTTTTGGTGTTAATATGGATTGCTAAATTATCTGCATGAAAATGATTGTTATAAAAATGTTTTTGAAAAAAAAATGTTTATCACAAAATTGTTTTTTTTATTTTTGTTTTTTGCCAACGTCGCATTTTGCAAAAAAAAAAAAGAAAAAATTTAAGCCATTATTTAATATATAACACAGACTTAAATGTTTTTGGATGACGAAACAAATTTGAAAATTGAGAAATACAACAAAAAATACTGAAAGTTTCAGTTTCTGAATAAGAAAAGTGTTTGAAAATGTACAAGAAAATATACTGTAAAAATACAAACCAAATAACAATTTTGCATTAACAGACATGAAGGTAAATTTAAAATGATAAACAGTTAAATTACAGTAAAAATACCAGGACATTTTCATTTTTTTGTTTTTTTCTCACACTATAGATAGAAATATACTTTACAGAACATGGACACAATTTTTAGGCCATGATTTGTAAATAACTACATTTGAGGTTTTATTACCAAGAATGTTTTATCCAAATATGCAATGATTCCATATAAGAGTAAACATTTTTTAATTCCAATCATAATCATATTTCTAATTTATTCATTTTGCATCACCCTTCCACATAAAATAATTGGACCAATTCAGCTTCACTGGACAAGCAGCACAAAATTTCATCTTTTTTGTATGAGGGAAAAATGAACCAGAAAAAACTTTCCCTTTAAATGAACCAGATTTCATTTGTTTGTTGCAGCTCGGTGAAGCGTACATTTAGACCGCATTGCGCCACCTGGAGAGCGGGATCAGGTGTGTTTGTGTGGGTGTTTGCACACCTAATGCCCCTGAGCACAGGTGTGCAAATGCAGCAGTAACAGGCAGCAAGGACTAAACTGAGGGGGTTGCACAATGATTGACTGCAAGGTAATATGTTCTTAGCAAGTGTTTTATTAATTCACTACATTTTTGCAGCTTCATAATGGCATCTTAGTGATTTTGTTTGCTCTTCCTGGTAGGATTCCAGATGTTGGGTTACACTTTACTGAGATTTTTACAGGCCTTTCTTTCCCTGTGCACAAATGGTTGATGATCCAAACCAGCTCTTTGTTGATTGGGAAAAAAAACCATACATATTTATGCACTCCACTTGGAAGAGAAAAGAGAAAAAAATATTCACCGAGCTATCCAGCGATCCATTTCCATCTGTGTCGTAGAGCCGAAACATAACTGTGGAAATTAAAAATAAAGCAAAATGTTAGTCCTAGATCAGTGTTTCTCAAACTTTTTCAGGCTGAGGACCACTTCACACATTCAACAAACACTCACGGACAACCTAACTTATATACAAACTGTGAAATGAAAATGTTTTTCTCTTAACACAAATCCATATTTTACAAAAATGAACCAGAAAAAACTTTTCCCCTAAATGGGGAAAGTGTGGTTTCTAAGCTTTCTAATTACGTCAAACACAAGGAAATCAAAAAAGAAGTTGTTCTTTACAACAAAGTGTGGAATAAAACCTAATTTTACTCTCTGATGTCTTCTAGTGGCTTCAAATGAACAGAAAATGACCCACAACAACTTGCAAGCTGTTTGCATTTAAATTAAACATTGACAGTAAAGTTATATTCAACGTATGATTGCACCCTCCTGCGTCTCTTAAAGAGGGAGTCAGAAAATCTGACTTATTTATCGTTTTTTTATTTTTGCAAGAAGAAGTCGTGTCTATTCTTCAAATGCTGTGACACCGGCCTGTTTCTGCTACACAATCAACAAGTCGTTGTTTCTATGGAAACAAAACAGTGTGCACAGGCAGATCTGTCAGAGACGTTTATTTTAGAGAAGCTGTTGCTGTTACTCAGGTGCAGGTGCTGTCAGATTGATAAAGACATGTTTATCTGATGCGGGATAGCTGCAGAAAGACCCAAGGCTGCACATCAAGTGAGCCTAAAACTGACAAACAAGAAAGACGTGTGTGTGTGTGTGTGTGTGTGTTAACACACTGCCAAGGAACAAAATCAACAGGCAATAGTGAGAAACAATTTTTCAGATGTAGAAAACATTAAAGTCATGTGCCAAAATTTTCTCTAAAATCAAAGAAGTTACCGAAAACCCCCAAAAGCTCCATTTCACTCTGCATACAATAGTAATTAGATAAAATTTTACTGACAGAAAAGTTATAAACACACAGTTGGTTTGGAAAGGTTGCCTGTTGGTGTCAATGCAACATCTACATGTTTGTGCTTTGCATTTGCATCAAATATTGATTGCATCAGCAGGACTCTGCGTAACTGGAGACAGATGCATAATTCAGTCATAAGACTTCCTTTGGACAGATGAAAGTTAAGTAGGATTTTTTTATTTACCAATGGTGCCTTATTTGGCAATAACACATCATAAGAATTATCAAGTGAAATAATCCACCTGCTGATATTCGGTAAGAGTAGAAAAAATGTTTCTAAAGTAAAAAAACAAAATCCTTAAACTATTATGCACAGTGGACCCTCATCAGTATTTGCAAATTTATCTATTTTTTGATTTTTCTGTGGAAAACGACTCCATAATATTTATGGAAATACTTTTTCAGAATCAAATATTTGAAAGAAAATGCAGCTTTGGAAGCTAAAAACCCTTGTTATCCTACTTCATACGCTATTGGCTGACATTTGCAAAGCAGCCAATCAAGGAGCGGCAATTATTTCCCTTGTCGCTGATTGGCTGGACCATCCAATAGCGGAAATAAGAAATTCAGTAGCCAGCGACGTTAGCTTCTGGTTTTCTCTGTGTATAGTAGTTGATATTAAGATATATTTGGGGTTTGAACTAATAAAATAGAGTTATAAACGTTTTTACAATACTGGCAGATTTTATTTATTTCCAGGTGGCTCTGGACCCTAAATCCAGTGAAAACTTTTGACTCAGTTTGTTTTTAGTAAGCTGGATATATTCCTGTCATTGCGCTAAACACTGACAGCATTACACATGCGGGTGTATTCCTGAGTTTAATCATTAAGTACAATACTTGAATTTAAATTTATCTAATAAAAGTATAAATGAAGGTCTCCTACTGACTTACTCTACTGAAGGATTTTATTTTCAACATTTTGATGTTGATTTCTGTCATTTTTTAAATCACATCTGAGCTCACTTTTAACACAGATGTCACTGAAACAACTGTAACAAGATGAAAACGATCAAAGTATAAAAATGGTACAAATGTTTTTTAAGCTACCATTGAATTTGCTTAGTTTAGTAAAAATGTTTGATGCTTCAACCAGTGATCATCAAGTTTGCAAATCTATTTAAACCTTTTTTCAAGCACAGATAATAATTTAGGTTATAAAACACCATTAAAAAGTAAATGAAATCCCCAGAAAGCTTTTTTGCTTGTTGCATTTCCAAAAAAATCTCAGAGTAAGATTACCTATTACCTACTGTGTTCTGTTTTACATATCAATTATCTCAAGACTTAAAGGACATTTCACTACAACGTAACAAGTGGCTACATAAAAACATATATAACATAAACTATGTAAATCATCTTAGCAGTCATAAGCAAGCCAGCAGAGGGCGCCCTCCTCCAAGAAGTAACAAGACTAAACCCTCAGGTTCAATATCACTTGGAGTTAGTTTCACAATGTGTTCAGAAATAGTCATGAAGGAAGAGTGAATTAAATTATTTAGTAATCTCTATGCTTAACGAGCGCCGTTCCTCTCAATTATTCAACATGTGACTGAGAATTACAGTGAAACATCATTCAATAAAGACTCACTACGTCCCAATTAAAAAGTGTAACGGGATTCTGTTATAAATAACCTGCAGTATAAATTTATATCAGGTTGATTTTATGAAATGGATGTAGAACCGTATTTTTTTCTGTCTTTTATCAGATGTTTATAATATTGAATCTGAAACAGCTGGCTTGTTTTGGCTCACTCGGTTTGTTCAGATCAGGAAAGCTGTGTTGACCTGAAAGCGTTTCCGTTTCTGGGTTTTGTGGACATACGGAAAGATCATCGACAGATTTTTTAAATTTTTGGTTGTTATTGCCGGAGTTGTTTTAATGCAGATTATCTAAGCTGTAAACCATTGTTTTTACTTTGTTATTCATTGTGTTTGTACACTTCTTGAGATTTTGCTTTGTCTCCTAAATGACAAAAATGTGTTTGCTTGACCTTGTTTACAGAAGGAAAAGTTGAAGTGGTCTGTTTGGGTGGTCTTGTGTTGAAATAGAAAAAAACGCATTTCAAAGTAAGAGCTTTTCTGACTAAAACATGACTAATTTAGAAATCTTTATAGGTCTCATAGAAAAATAAATTTTACAAAATCATAACCTACTAACAAATGAACAAAAATAGTATAAAACACTTTAATCAGTATGTTTTTAGCAGCAGTTCAGTAACACAATTAGCTAATGAGATTAAATTTGAACTGTTTTGTTTAGCACAACCATAGAAACCCATAAAGAATCTATTTCTTCAAATCACAAACTAATTTAGATAATCTGTAATCACTGCAGCATAATTTAGTCCAGCTTTAACTTCAATCAGGACCTGATTTAAAGTGGGAATCATTCAGTTCAGTTTTAATCAATTTGTACGCTTAACATTTAAAATAGAAGCACTTCAGTTCACTACAGGTTGGGAAAATATAATTTTTTAAATTTCTCCAGTACAATGGTTTAAAAAATTATGTAGTATGTAGTATGGCAATTTTAGATAATTAGGAAGCTACTACTGGCATAAGGCAATATTTTCTTGATGTTGATTGTTATCATTTTCCCTGTTTCCATGTACCAAAATGTTGCAACTCGTTTAAAGTGGTCAGAGCTTCTTTAGTGCTAATTTAGCCAAACTAAAGTCATGCCAACAGAAGTAGTACTTGTAGTTAGCATGCTTTGTAAAACCTTTCTAACTAATACATCATAGTATCAGGTGATACATACTTTTAGAGTATTAAGTCGCCTAAAATTGACAAAAACAGGGAACTTCTCTTAGCAACCACGGCTACAAGAGCAGCCCTAAAACAGACCTGAAATCAGTCTAAATGCTTCCCTGTGGTCCACTACAGCTTGAACATTTAACCTTATTTGTCACTGGTTCATGCAATGTTCCTTTGCCTCTGACTTCATGATGATAACAGAATCAGACATAGGATGATACTAACACTCTAGTTTGTCCTCAGGGCGCCCGCCTTCCAGCAGCGAGAGGTAAAACACAATATCCTTCAGCTGCACCATATCCAGAGGACCGGGCGGGGCGGGGGTCTTTGGGGGAGTCGAGTTGCTTTTGATGAGCTTAAGGCCTGCAGGGGGACACAAATGAAAGGTCAAAAACATCCTCCACAATCCCTATGTTACCCCAAATACCTGCTGGTTAGAGTGTCTATCTTCACAGAACTGATCCAAGGACAGAAACAGGCTAATGTGATTCCTACCTTATTGTTTTTAATGAGATAGGAGTAAAGATTGACCAAATTATGTAAAAACAAAGCAAAAAAAAAAACTAAAAGAAATTCTCTACTTTTTCTGAATCTAGAAGCCACATTGTACACGGCACAAACTAAATTTACAGAGTAATTTTGGTCTATACTAGTGCAACTATCTCATTACACTTGGAAAAAAGACTAATTTAAAAGTAACTTTTCAACAAGATACATGTGCTTGTTTAACTAAAGAATTCCTTAATATTGATGAAAAAGTACTTCAGGGAGAAAATGGAGGAAATTTATATTTTCATAAATTATCAGCTTCATAACATGGTTACAATTTTACAAATATGTAAAAAAAACATTTTTTTAATAAAAGTTACAGACTGCATGTTTAATTCAGAGCTAGTAAAACCAAGTGCTAGACCAATTTTTACAAACATGAATAAAAACTTGAAACTGGAAATTATTTTATAGTTTATTGTATGAGTTGAGTTCCTTTTCTGTTTATTGGTCCAGATTTGTATTGAATTCGAGAACAAAGTTGTCGGCAGATAAATTACCCGATAACATAGGAAAAATCTCTTGTTATAAGTAAAATAATCTCCCAATGGAACAAGAAATTGTTATCAATATTAAGGAATTATTTACTTAAAACAAGCATATAAATCTTGCTAAAAAGTTACCTGTAAGTTTTTTTTTTTATTGCAAGTTTATTAAGATATGTACACCAGTAACTATACCAAAAATATTTAGTAAGATTTTATGTTTTAACAGTTTCCATATTTTTTTATATTTAAGTAATTATGAGTCACTGTGGTGAAATCTTAAACTACTTCTGTGCAAGTTATTTGACTTGTTGTTGCTCAGTAACGAAGAGCGAGTGAGTCAGTTGATTCCACAGGACAGTTCTGAAAAAGTTTTTGAGTATTCTCTAAATATCTGCAAAGCACTATTTATATGTATATATATATTGAGGAAGTTATGCAGTTTTACATAAATGTTTCTCATTCATGGAAAAAATCACCACAAAAGAGCAAATGAACCTAAATCGTTGGAGGCGGAGCAACATTTTTTTCCAGCAAAGAATTTAGATAATTATTAATGCTGGAGAAAGCTGCTTAATGCAAAAGCTGGAGGGATGTTTGCATCTCAGAGTCCATTTTGTAGAAACCCAAATGAAAGTACCAAAATGTTCAAAATGTAAATTTTACATTATACGTCCCGTTTAAGGCAAAAGAAATCCTCAAAAGTGAAAACAAATACTTTTTTGTTTCTTTTCTTAATGTCAAAGTTAAGTTAATGTATTATTTCTACTTCACAAACAAAATATCCCTCATACAGTGTAACAACAACATGTTACTTCTGGAAAATATCGCCTCAGTATTCCTGCAGTGACCTTCTGGGGCCTCAGTTTTATAACATGAACAAGCAGAATCATTGTACAGAGAGATTGGAATATGTTGCTAAATATCCCAAGGGCACAACTGCTTGGTAACAAAGATGTCACCCAAAGTGAAAAATATAACAGTTAATATGTTAATAAATGAAACACATAATAAATGAAACTTAAAGCAATGTAGGTAATAAACTAATGAAGAAATTACCAATAAAAATCTCTGACTTTAGAAGTACTAAAAGGTCAGAGAAAAGAATGGGTGGAAGTCAATGAATACTAGTAATAAAAAAAAAATAACATAATTTGCTTCCTCCCAAAATTTATTTGGTTTTTGCTTTTTGGCACAATTACATGATTTTAGATCAAACAAATCTTCACACAAATATAGTCTGAGTTAATGATATGAGCAGATTTCAAATATACATCATAAAGTTGTCCAAACAAATATGGCTCTATGTAAAAAAGAATATTCCCATCTTGTTGTCATCCAGATTAATCTGCCACCTCCCTGTTTGATTACTGATATGAAGATTAATTGTTTCATAAAATTTTCTTTCTATGTATGTTTTGTTTTTTTGTGGTGTTTATTTGTTTTTCTACATATAAGGTACTGGAAGCAGTCAGTCATTGAACTGTTTTTATGAAATACTGACATTAGATCCAGTAGTCGTCCCTAGTCTTTAACATCGAGCCTTTAGTAAATACCCTTGTCAGTGCCACAATTTCAATTGAAATTTAACTTATTTTTTACTCATCATAAAAATTTGCAGCTAATACAGCCTCTATAACAAATGTGAGGCAGTTATTTTGACACTGCAAAACAACCGGTATCTGCTATAATGTGCTACGGTTCCACTTTGCCATGTTTTTGGCATTATTACACAACAGTAATTTAGAGTAAATGCTAAAAACAAACAGAGCCCCTGCCAAGGGAATTGGCATACTCTACGATTTACATTTCATGCCACCTGGCTGGTTGCTGCAGCACAATTATAACATGTGATAACAAATATACGAGTATCTACGTAACACCAACATCTGCTGTGTTTACATCTACTGTTCGCCTTGGGAGAGGGAAGGAGGTTTCTTTCCACACTTACCAGAGACTCTGGGCTTGTCAGCAGATGAGGGACTGGGTTTGGGTCCCTTGTTGCTAAACGACATGAAGAGATGTTGACAGAACTCCTCGGGGAGTTCACTCTCCAGGAAAGTCTGCATGAAGACCTTGAAACCTTCGAAGTCAATCTCCTGAAGCCAAGGCAGAAACAGATGAATGGCCAGGATCCCTCCACAACCAAGTCTCAATCAATCAGACAAGTTTATTTGGACAGAACATTTCAGAAACAAGGAAGTTCATAAAAATACAAAAATTAACAACTGAAGCATTATATTTTTTCAAGTGCTGTCATTACAATCAAAACGTTGATTAATGTTTCATTTATTATGGTTCAAAAGGGACTCTAAACAGTTGGGTCTAGTCTAGATTTAAAGGAACTCAGTGTTTCTGCTGTTTTGCAGTTTTCTGGAAGTTTGTTCCAGATTTATAGAGCACAGAAGCTGATTGCTTCTGGTTCCACAGAGCGATGAACCTCTTTAGTACACTCCACTGTAGAACAAGAGTAGAATAGAATAGAATAGAATAGAATAGAATAGAATAGAATAGCATTTATTGTCATTGAACAGGATTCAACAAAATTTCTATTGCAACTCCCGTGCAAAAAGTCAAACAAGTGGGTGTCGGTCCATGACTTGGTACTGACTGTCCGTATTCATATCTGAATTTTTTATATTTGTTTGTTTATTTGGATCGCCAAGCCATTTCCGAAACAATGGCTACTGTTCCCTGTGCTTGCGTCGCAAAAAAGCATTTGTTACATGAACAATTACACACATGTAACATAACATTAAAAACATAGCATATTAATCTAATAATTAATATGCTAATGCACAAGTATAACACTTTATGTAAATTTGGTAATTCGAACTAAGCTAAAACAAGAAAAGTTTGGTCTGATTTAACTTTAGACAGTGAGAAAAAATCTGTTTGTGCAAAAATCTGGTTTCAAGTGTATATGTAATTGAATAAAATATAAAATTTTTACCTGACTGAGGATTTCCTGTTTCTGTAACGTGAAGCATGAGGAAGAGACAAGTCAAGTTTAAATTACATTTTTATGATACTTTTACTCCTTTTATGATACACATCAGAGTTTTGACTTTATACCATCTTTGGTTTAATTGGTGTCACTTCAGTGTTTGTTTAAAATCGCTCACTTAAATAACTTACCCATGTTAGGATTTTATTTTCAGCACGTGGAGAAGAAACTACACTGTAAGCGATTGGTTATGTAATGCAGTGTAAAGTCAACACACACCTCCTCTGGGTTGTATTTAGCCAACACTCCGTCTCCATGGAACTCCTGCAACACATCCTTCAGCTTCTTGGTGGAGTCTGAGGGAGAAATGTTTACATGTCACCATTTTCAGCTTCATTTATAGCCACTTACATCTGTTTTTACACTCTGCATTTAGGGCTTTCATCCAACTTTGTGTTGAGACATTCAAGAAGATTATTTCTTTTTGAATTGCTACAGAAAATCTGCATTTCAGGCGGCCATTACTGCAGATGTTTTGATCTCTATTGAGAACTTGTGAGGAATAAAGAGAGGTTTATGAGCTATATCGTTGCATAAAAATAGGTTGTACGTTTGGATTAGAGACAGGAAGGATGAGTGGGATTAACAGGGCTCTATGCTGTAACATTAATTTTTAATAATGTGATGCTACAACATAAGAAATGCCTCTTAAAGCTCCGTGTTATTATAATTACAATAGCTGATAAGATTTCAAACTGCTGCCTCTTTTTTTTTTGTCTAAAAAAAAAGCACTAATTGCTCTGAATCTTTTCTTCAATCCAAATCCATTCCACCAACAGTGAAAATGAATAAATGCCTCACAGTGAACTGTGTGTCATTATTACTGACCATCTTTATTAATGCACCATCGACGCAAAAAGCATTTAGGAGCAGAGTGATAATAAATCCGCTAATTACCGGTCTGCCACATTCTCCAGGCACAACTAAATAGTAATTTACAATTAAGTCATGGTCAGGATTTAGGTTCATAAACACAGGCTATTTTCTTCAACTATAAAAGCCTCTATTGAATAGCATATTGCGAATGTTCACATAAGCAATTATGTTGCTGAAAGGGTAACTCTAATTGTTGTCAGACCTGGCGAGGCACACAGCTATTAAAATGTTATGAAAGTGTGCACAGCTCGCTTTAATGAGGGGAAAGGGAGATGCAGAGGAGAGGAGATGGAGGATGAAATGCCTATTGTTACCAGACAGGAGGTTTTATAACCAGAAGCTGCAGAGTGCATGCAGAGCAACGAGGAGCTTCTGGAAACACGATTATCTGAAATCTGTCAGCTGCGCATCTTTACTCCACATGCACATCAACACAGATGAGTTCTCCTCTAACTATTGTTGCTATTTTAACTTGTACTTCTTTATTACAGTTACATACAATATAGTAAAGCTGCAGTATGTAACATGTACAAACTGTCATGTCATGACTACATGTTATGAGGCAGATTGTCTGGGGGAAGAAAAATCACTTTTCTCACAGTGGTAATTAGAATAACCAATCAAAGCCAGGAGGAGGGTCTTTGTGCTGTCAATCACCCTCTGAGTGGTGCTGCTCATCATCTCTTCCCCCTGCCCTCACTGCTCTCTGCTAGCGACTAATGCACTGCAAAAACGCAAAATCTTACCAAGTAATTTTGGTTTCTAATGCAAATATCTCTGTACACTTGAAATACAAAAAACTAACTTAAAAGCAACTTTTCAGCAAGATTTAGAAGCTTGTTTTAACAAATAATTCTTTAGTATTGATGAAAAAGAACTTGTTCCATTGGCAGATAAATTAACCTATAAAATGGGGAAAAATGTCTTGTTATAAGTTAAATAATCTGACAATTATGTACTTAAATCAAGCCTATATAGCTTGCTAAAAAGTTGCTGTTGAGTTACTTTTGTTTTATTTTAAGTTTACTAAGATATTTGCACTAGAAACTAGACCAAAACTAATTAGTAAGATTGTATATTTTTGATGTAGCCTGTTATGGATGCTAGAGCTCATTAGCAAGGCCACAGATGATGGCAGATAAACAGATTTTCTGTAACAGTAATTTTTTGTCTGCCATTAGCACATTGAGCAGCAAGTACATAAGGTTGATTGACAGCTCTAAGAGACTCCTCCCGGCTCTAATTGGTTGTTTCTGGACAAGAGTTCAGGGAGAAAATGGAGGAAATTTATATTTTCATAAATTATCAGCTTCATAACATGGTTACAATTTTACAAATATGTAAAAAAAAAAACATTTTTTTAATAAAAGTTACAGACTGCACGTTTAATTCAGAGCTAGTAAAACCAAGTGTTAGACCAATTTTTACAAACATGAATAAAAACTTGAAACTGGAAATTATTTTATAGTTTATTGTATGAGTTGAGTTCCTTTTCTGTTTATTGGTCCAGATTTGTATTGAATTCGAGAACAAAGTTGTTATTTTCAACACAAATAACTACAAGGCATTTATGGTGACAATTATTCATTATTCAGATTCATTGTGTGTGCTCTGAATAGTAAATAAAGATAATGCTTCAAACATCTGTGAGTTGTATTATGTACCACTGAAAGAACATTGTAATCATTTTAAATGCAACCCTGAGGCAGGAACAAAAGATTTGTAGTGCAGTGCTGGACATTTACCCAACCTTCATTGTTTTGTCTTTCTACGGAAACATTTCAGCTACAATTTAAATATTTTAACAGATACTAGCCTTAATGTTAAGGCTGTCAGCTAAAAATAATCACTGCATGCTCAAGTAATAAAGGATACAGAGCAGGATTTGGACTGAAGCACCAAACTGGATGGCCAATCCAGAACCCCAGTGTGTGCACTGACCGTTTGTCGAAATCTTTTAAGGTTTGTTATGAAAACGATGAGTTATGCAAACACCTCAAAGCATAATATAAACATCCAGAGAATGAAAACAACATTATGTGCAGCAAATTAATCTGCAAATTAACCTGTCCTTTGGGAGCAAGCCATGCCAAAATCCTTACCAAACATTATGTTTTGCTGTTACCTCAGTGATAACGCTTTTGTTTTAGTTACATCCATACTTTGATGCAATCTGAGAAGCTTTGTTTATGCTTGTGGTGCAGCGACCTCCATAAATGTTTTGTTTTACTATGGAGGATTAGCAATCGCAGCGAAGCATAAATCCCGCTAACTTTCCACTAATAAAACAGTGATTGAGTTAAGCAGCCATCAAACACATTGCTTCCCTACCGAGATTTCTTTGTCAACTTGAAGCAGTTCCATTTCTTTTCATTTGTGACTTTATAAGTCAGCCAGGGAGATTGCTTTCACAAAGCTATTCTTAATCTAATCTTAACTACTTATCACGTTTTGTGATCAAGAACTTACTAAGCACAGGCTTGGTGATTCAACATGATTTCATGAATAAAGCAATGTGTGACCATCTGGAGAGCAGTGGTGCGTTTTAACCCAGTTCTAAAATGGAAATACGTCACCAAAAACACAATGCTGCATTTCCACCGATTGCTATGGATAGTGTGGAGCTATTGTCATCAAAATAGCTCCACCCTCAATTGATTAGGAGACAAAAAAATATATTTATGTTCATTTGAAGAATAAAAAAAGATTATTTAACAAATAAAAGTGTTATATTAGACTCTATAAGAAGTGCCTGAAAGACCGTTGACAAAGACTGGAATAGGTTTGTTTCACTTCAGAGGTGCAGAGTACCTACTGTGTGTGGATTATTTTTCAAAGTTTCCGGAGATCATCAAATTGAATGCAACACCAAGTAAACAAGTAAACATGTCATCACTGGACTGGTCTGCATTTGCACGACATGGTGTGTCGGATGAATTGATAATGGCAGATAAGAGATGGTGGGAAGAATTGGGTTGTAAACATACAACCTCAAGTCTTTTTATCCTCAGTCGAATGGACAAGTTGAGAGAGCCGTTCAGACACTAAAAAACTTACTGAAAATAAGCACATGGCAGCAGAGGTGACCCACATCTAGCACTGGTTAAATACAGGAACACACCAGTGGATTATCATCTGCTCAGACGCTCATGGGAAGAAGGCTCAAGTCAAAAATACCAGAGGCAAATAATTTACTGCAACCAGCTCTCCATGAAAATAAAGCAATTTTGTACATAGTCATCAGAGACCGAAACAACATTTTGACCAAAGAACCAGGATCCTGGTCTTCAAGATGGTGATGAAGCGGGAACCAGGCATTGTGGCACAAAAACACAGTCAGCCAAGGTTGTATATTGTTAAAACTACAACTGGAGAACTGTACAGAAGGAACCACTTCAAACAAGAGAGATGAGAGCGTAAATTACTCACACTGAGTGTATTCCTGCAGCAGGGCAAACTCTGCCGGGGTCATTGTGACCCATTTGTCCTGACCGCTCATTGTGCTCGGTCCTTGTCGCTTCGTTCTTCAAGCCTTCCTCTGGACGTCACGCGTCAGACGACCAGGTCCATCACCGGCTGACCTTCTTACCCTTCTGCTTTGTTTCCTTTGAAGAAAAGGTCAGAGAAAATAGCTGTGCAGGTCAGATGCAGGATCTCTTTGGATTTGTTCAGCCCACAGAGAGTCTCACTGAAGACAGCAACAGTTGGAGGCTCACTCATTTTGAAGGAGCATACTTTCTGCATTTTTCCTGCAATTCATTTCCTTCTGCTGCACCCATTTCTGTTTGGTTCAGATTTTTACATGCCGCATGTAACACACTCTTTGAAAGCTACTTTTGTGCTTTTTATAATCAGCCCAACTGGTTGATTATGAGTCGGTTCAGCAACAACAACAGAAAAATGTAGCTGCTACTTTTAAAACAAAGATCCAACATCCAACGATTCACTAAAGGACGGTTAAATTTTCAGTGGTAGATTTAGATAATTTTCCAGTAATGCGATACAGGATGATGCATTTTTACAAAGAAGAGGCTCAGATTCTGAACTAAAACCTCAAAAATTTATAAATTTCAGGATTTTTTTTCTACATCTGGATAAACTTAAAGAACTGACCAGACATCACAGTTTTGCTGATAGAACCTTGTTCTCTCTGTTTTGTGTTTTCATTGAACATTTGTTGTATGGATCATATCTATATTGGTCTTGAAGCTTTGACCCATTTACTCGTAGCTGAAATCCTGGATCAACAAGTGGATGTTCAGTCATGTGAAGGCTAATTTCAAATGACTGAAATCTGTTTGCGTCACGGCGAATACAAACATCGTACGTTGGTGTGTTGTTTTTATTACTATTTTATCATGTCTTTAATAGATTTTGATTTGTTTTTGGCTCGTCTGTGGGTGTGTTTGTTCTCTGGCGTGTGTGTGCAGAAATTCCCTGAACAATCAACCGAATGTCATCCAAATTACAGAGATTATGACAGAGTTGCAGAATGCATCGGAGCTGGATGTTTTGGAACCAAAAACTTCAATCTGCAAAAACTGAGCCGCTGAAGAAGAAGCCGACTGAGAGATGTTACATAAAACATCAGAGTGTATTCCTTCTGTGCACTGCGATCATCCGCTCCCTCTTTCTGCAGTGCAACCAGCTCTGCAAATGTCACAGCAGTGCTGCTGCTCCAGTGGTGCAGTAAAAAAAAAAAACAACAGCATCATCAAGCGAGAGACTCAGTAGGTGTTGAATGAGAATCGATACGGTGACACATTAAGATGCTGCTCACCTGCTGCAGGGCTGAGGAGGAAAACAGATGTCTGGAAAGAAGCTCCTGAATCAGATTTCTGGCTTTGCTCCTGACTGGATCCTCTCTGAGGTTGTAATGTTTCTCTGTGTACGCAGCAGCAGCAGCCGCCCTCTGTGCTGCATGTCACTGTCAGCGCATATGAATGGTGGAGTGATTGTTATTTCCCCTCTGGTCAGAAGACGATCAAGGATGTGGAGTAGCGACACGCTGAGTGAAGGAAAAGCGGAGGATGAGAGAGAGAGCAAGAGAGAGAGGAATTATCCAGTGTTGGGTTTTCCATACTCCCGCTCGCTCACGTCACATCCCTCCTGCCCTCCCCTTCCTCACGCTGTCGCTCATCTTTAACCCCCTCCTCCTAAAAACCCTCAGGTCCTCTCATCCACGGCTTTCACACTGCCTCCCTCGTTTTCTCACTCCTCTTTTCTCTCTTCATCCCACCTCCAACAAGCTTTCGGCTGCTCACATCTGCCAGCTGAGAGTAACAACCTGAGGGATTTCAGGAAGAGAAATAAGGCATTGTGTCTTCAAAGCACTTTACTGGGATTTTAATGGGAAAAATAAACTGGAAGTAACAAATAATGATCGAACCAAATAAAAAAACCCAGTAATGTTTACAAATAAATGCACTGTAAAACATTTAAGCTTCATTCAATTGTGTCTACTATCTTCTACTACATTGATGAGACTCTTCTGTTTTATTAAGGCAAATGTTTATTTTAGTGTCTTGTTCACACTAAATGTTTTGAGCAGAATTCATTATGATATTTTATAAAATTCTTTATCAGATCAGAAATTTTGTTCATGCAATTTAAAACAAGAATTTAAATTATTCTAAAGTGAAATAATTATTTATTTTTAACTTGATTTTGTGAGTGAAATGTGAGGAATGTGGCTCTTTAATGAGGTGAGGGCAGTTTTTTCTTGTATATAATGAAATAATGATTTGGTTTAAATTGCAGCATTAAGTTAAAGCTCACATTCGAGATTAACTTCAAAAACAAAGTTTAGACAACTTGTGTCTTGTTCTTAAATTGACTTATTGAACTTTAATTTCTGAGTTAAAACCAAAACTATCTTTTTTCTTGACTTCGGTTGCATTTTCAAGGCAGCAGGTGGACTTTCATTTACAAGTTAAACCACCTTCAAATGTTTTACAGTGTACCTTAAAATATTTTTTCTCACCTTTTTAAGCAAAAAAGGTGAGACGGTGAGACATTTTAACTTGGTAGAGTGATGTTTTTTTGTTTGTTTTCACTAGAGCAGTAGATATAATGTGTGTATTATTGATTTCTATATTAAGCCAGAAGCCATTTGCTGTTTTGGACCAAACAAAAAACAAAATGCTTTATTTAAGCATTTCTCTGACTCTGAACACCAGTTTCATGTCTTGTCACAGATTCTCAGCTAAAAGGTATGCTTGGACTTTGACTAGGCCATTCCTTTTCAATCTCTTCCTGTATTGTAGTGTTGCTGTTTTTGTAAAAACAATCAAAAACATGTTTGTTTTTTCACTTCACAGCTGTATGCTATTTGGAGTTGGTGTCTCATAATTTCTCACTACAGTAAACAGTATGAATATTCTTCAGCCATATTTATCTTGTTGCCTTATATTTGCATGTTTTTCATCCAGGATTCCCACATCTGTGTGACTTTTCTAACAATGCAAAGCCTCTGCAGCTGCAGCAGCTAAATGTCAGTCGCACTGTTCGCACAGAGTGAAAGGCCATCCTGTGCCCCCCAGTCACCGTGTGTCGGTCACATGTGAGGGGCATATCAATACTTCAGCTGCCTCTCCCACTCTGGATGTAAACGCCCACATGACCTATACAGACAGCCTGGAGGCACCGCTACATCACGAACCACGCTGCCCGCATTTGGGTCGGTGATCTTTGATGAAACTCGATTCATGCTGCGGTTTGTTGGTCAGACCAAACGTCGCTTCCGGTGGAGCGAAGCCTCTAAAAGGCGCCAGTAAAGAAAAGATTAGCTTGAGGTTCAGATGAAGACGTGATGATTATTCCTGGAAACGGCGTGTCAAAAGGTTCTGTTCGGAAAAAAGCAGAACAGAGACAGCCTTTTACAGCTCCTGCAGAAAGAGTTTGTTGTACGCGACTTAGCTGGATGTTGCAGTTTGGGCTCATTAGAAAATGGCCGTCGAGATCCACCAACTGGATATAGCGGCTCATTGGGTGTCTGGGCTCTGCTGTAGCAGATTTATAAACCTTAAAGGTTCTACAAAGCAGAAAATAGGAGCAGGTCAGATTGTTTATCAGCAACAACTGAAATTTGCAGTTTTAATCAAATGATGTGAGGAAAACAGTCATGACAAAAGTCAGATTTTTGCATTTACATCTTAATGGAATAACAAGCATTATGTTTTACAAATTTCCCACCTTTAAGCTTCCTGTTTGTACACAAAGAACCTGTCCTAAAGCAAGGCAGTTTTTGAAATTGGTCACATTTAAAGTAATGTTTTTGTTCATGGACATCATTCATGATGCTTTCCCCCCCAACTTCAGAAATTATTGCTGTTTTGTCATGATGAATTCAATATGTTTATAAATTGATAGCATAATTAAGCTACCAGACCAGAAAAAATGTTTACATACTTCTGTGAGGTGACAAGAAATGATAGGAGTCAAAAGTTGAAGAGAGCTAGAAAATGAAAATAGTTTCCATGTTCATCTTAGCAAAATGGCAAATCTAACTGAAATATTCACTTCCCTTAAACTGTTTCACTTTAGTCAGATTAGAGCCCACCGAAAAAATAATTCATTTTATTTTGAAATTATGTTTCCACATTCCTCTTAGCAAAATAACTGAAGCTGATGCAGACCCTCCTTAAATAAAACTTCAAATTTTTAGTAAATAAATCAAATGAACATGACTTTCCACTTTCAGGATCTGCAGAGGCGGAAAGAATAAATGGTTATGGTAATTTTTGTCTTTAAAAATGTAATTTCAGAGAGTCATACCCTCCAGGATTGTGTGTCATTAGCCAATTTTAGCTCAGAAGAAGCAATTTGTGTGGTCAGTGATACTTAAGGATAGGCTTAAATTATTGAAATCTGTGCTTGATATAGTTAGGTTTTAATGTCTAGCTGCAATGGAAAAGATTAATGCTGAATCTGTCTTTTTAGACTGTGTCCAATTTTCTTAATCGTAGTAAAACAAGAGTTTTAACTCTGTGGCCACCAGCACAACACCCCACCCAGCTGTACAGAGCACATATATCAATTCTACCCCATTTTCTACCCACAGGGCTATAAATAGCAATGAGTGAGTGTGTGTGTGTGTGTGTGTGTGTGTGTGTGTGTGTGTGTGTGTGTGTGTGTGTGTGTGTGTGTGTGTGTGTGTGTGTGTGTGTGTGTGTGTGTGTGTGTGTGGAGCCTGGGGAAGAACACTGTGTATCATGATGGAACCATTACATGAGTGTCTGTGCAGGAAATCTTTGATATTTAATATAGCTGGAACTGATTTAAAATTAGCCTCACTAAGAGTTTAATTTCTCAGCGCAACTCTTATGCGTTGTCACTCTTTCCAATTCAGTACAAAAATGTGTCAGTGTCAAAGTGAGATTAAAGGTTGTCATAGCTCACATCATCCATGGATCTTCATAGAGTCGTTTCAGATGGTGATGCTGTCAGGAGGAGGGATTTCCAGTAGCAGTCAGACTTACAGCAATTCTGAAGAAGCCTCTGACTGTAAACTGTTGCTGTATGACATTAATTACTGTTGTGACACATAAACAGCTCAATTTCCAAGCAACAGAAACAATATTCCACAGTAAAATGATCTGGTTTACGGTACTGCTCAACCTCATTTGTTTCTGTTGCTCCTCTTTAAGTCTCTGTTTAGCTTGAACAGCTAAGGATAGGTCTATTGCCTGTACAAAACATGTTCGTTACATTTTTCTACACAAAATTATTCTCAGATAATGACATTTTTGTTTGATCAGTTCAGTTTACGTTGAGCTCCTTTCAGAATGAGCTTCCTGTCACTTTAAATCCTAATGGGTTGCTGCTGGCCTCGCCTCCCAACTCAATGTTTTAACACTCGCACATGAAAATGGCTGACATTATACGACCGTAACATCTTTGAAAAGTAAAAATAGAGCCTTCTGCACGACCAATAAGAATGCAGTGGGTGGTTTTCTGGCTGTTAAGTCAACAACAAAATATTTGTCATTTCCAGCAGCCATTGTACAGCGCATACAACAGCTATCACCATCTTCAGTAACTCTTTAAGGAATCTACAACAAGATTTAATTCTCCTTAAGGATGAATAAAGTATTTTTGAATGTGAACTTTGAGTTTGAAAACCAGCTGTGCAAACATCCTGGCACTCTGCTTCGGTTGCTAGGCAACATGCTGGCACAGCTGAGGCGGCTAGTTAACGGTTAGCGCCTGCTAATTTGTGATGTTGCATTCTGGAGGTTTTTGAAATGGCTTTACTTCCAGACACCATAAAACATGAACTTACTGCCAAAAACCAACAATGAGGTTTTTTTTTTTTAAGAGCTTCTGCTTTTTTTTTTTTTTTAGAAGCAGCTAAGACCCAAATGAAAGTACTAAAACATGCAAGATATGAATTTTAGTATTTTTACTTATTGACACGACTGACAAGAATAAAAATAACTGACTGAATAATCCAACCTTTGCATCTTAGATGTGTGTTTGATTCAAGTTGAATCTTTTACATAAATAACCGATAAAAAGCATATTTAATGTTTCCACTTCGCTCCTCCTGCCTGTGATGGCGTTGAAATTCAGCCTGCTAACCATCTTGTGCCATCACATGTCCTCTCTGTGCTCATACGCAGTAGTGCAGTGTCGCAGGATTTCTTTGTATGATAATGAACATGAAAGGATGAGTCACTGGAACAATCTGTGGACCGGAGGAGGCTGCTCACATTTGTTCCCATCTGCCATGTGATGCATCAAATGCTCATCTAATACAATCAGGCGAACGCTTCAAGCCTTAGACAAGCACTTAGTGTCGATGTGGCATTGACAGCTTGGCCGATCAGGTATTTAAGTCAAATTGCTGCAATTACAGCTGCAAATCTAAAGTAGCTTTTCACATACAGGCTGACATTTCTGCTCTCTGTTCTTTGAAAACTCAGTCCAACTGAGAATCCATTTTTGGATTCTCAGTTTGATTCATGTTTGAACTTTTGACATTATTTTACCACAACCTAATTAGTGGAGTAATGTTCTTCAATTTCTTTGGAATATGCAGGTTGTTGTGAATTACATGTTTATGAAATCTTTAAGTTATCTGCTGGATTGGCTTCTCCATCCAGAGACAACCTGCAGAAATGACTGCCTTGCTTGAAATGCTGGCATTCAGGTAAACACACACTCATTTTCTAAAAAAGATCTGATTTCTTCATCTTTCAGAAAATTTGACATAATTATATGTATTTCTGTCCAGATTAAAACATTTTTCTTTTAGAAATGCTTTTTCCCCCATGTGGCAAAACAGTTGTACACCACTAGTTTGGTTGAAATGTATTCTTAAAGTGTATTTTCTATTCTCAAACTACCATTTTATAACACGGTCAAGTGATTATCTTTATAAAAATGCTAAATATATGAAAAAAGACTTGAAAAAAATTTGACTTTGTAATTTAGTGCCTTGAAATTGTTGCCTCTGTCTCTTTAAGAAACTCCTGCTCTGATAAACTGCCTTCAGGAAGTAATCACAATGTCACTCCTCTATAAAAAACATCCTTAACAGCACAACATTATAACATAAAATAAAGCTCAAAAGTCAATTTAAAATAATACTTCCCCTTTGAGCCCTTATTGGCATTTCCTTATTTGTTACTCTGTCAAGTGAGGCAGATTTCCCTCCTCTTCGTCGGTGAAGTCCGCACTAAACTCCAATCAATATGTCAGCTCAGTAGCCTGTTGATAAATCACTTTAATAAGCTAACAGGTGATTAAAAAACAAATTAACTGCACAGAGAAGTATTTGTATCTGTCAAAGAGCATTGTATTTCAAATTAAGATATTCTGTAAAGATAAAACTGTTTAAATGTAAATTTATTGGTTTTTCAGTAGTCATGTAGAGATCAGGATGAGGATAAAGTACATCAATAAAATTTCTAGATAATCGGGTATTTCTCCTTCTCATGCAGTCTGAAGAGGACACATTTATTTTCACTTCAATGAGAAATGTATTATTAAACTTACTGAAATAATATCCATGAAGCCATAAAATATCTGCAATCACTTTACACTGCAGAGGGAAAAAAGCAGCAAGCAGAAAACTACGTCAGCATCGATTTTTAGGATCCTAAATGTGAAAAACAAGCTGAATGTGATCTTCAGTCATCACCAGGCAACAGCAAGCAGGTTTCTAAACACATATGCAACACTAAAACAAGAAAATACAAAACTCCTTCATTTCACTTCAAAGAGAAATGTATTGATTTATTCATTTTAGTGCTGCTTTCTTGGTAAAAACATAGAAGGTAAACTCCCCTTCATTACCTTGCCATGCAAAAATGGAGAAAAAAAACACCTTTATTGACACAAAAATTATCACATTTTTAATCATAATTTGTGTTGATTTTATTTAATTGCCTTGAAGTGCAAATCCAGAACATTTCTTTGCAATTCTGTGCTACTTGGAATCATTTTAGATTATATTTACCGATGATGTGGTTTTTCATTTAAGTGTTCCTGCAGCTGCATTTCCATTAAAAATAAAATTGCTCCGTTAGAAACAATTTTGCAATTGCAGTGAAACGCAATTGAATTCAATTTAAAAAAATAAAAGAAAATAGGGGGGAAAAAAAGCATGCTGCCATTATCCTCCTCTCACAATGTCCGGTTGTTGGTCACATAACGTGTGACGCAGTTTTCCATTCATACAAAAAACTTAATTGTCGTGTCTCTATTCCTGATTACAATTTTATGGTTAATGGAAACAGCAGATCAAGAGCTAAAAGCAACACATTACATGCAAATAATCCTAACAAGGTTTACATAAAATTGAAATAAAATTGGCTTTAAAATGTCAGCAGAAGCCACCAAGATGTTGTATTTGTGCCTTGGACTCTGGTCGTTAATGAACGCCATATTTTGAAACCATGACAATGCATGTACATCCATCTAGTTATCGTTGAAAACAATTTATTTACTTACTTTTGTCATATCTTGTCGCACATTTTTACATTTTTATCTTGTCGCATGTGCTGAACTGACAGCTCCTCTAAATATCAGGTGCGGTGAATAAACCTGAGGGTCTCGACCTGGACCTTAACCGCCGTGTGTCTGACTGCGGCCTCAACCCGAACCCCAACAAAAGCCCTTAAAACACCAGAACCTTCGCAAGTAGCGAGGTGCCATCTCACATTATATAACCGGAGGAAAAAAGCCCTAAAGGTTCTGGTTCATGACAAGCAGCTGATGTGTTAGCAGATCAATAACACCATTTACAGTAACGCAGCGGTCGAAGAGATGTTTGGGTTTCATTCTCGTGTTGGCAGAGTTTTGAATCAGTTGATTTGTAATCATACGATTACAATATAAAATGAAACCTAGAAAATAAAAGTACGAGCCAATTTTTATGCGTTTCAACAGAAATTTGTTTCTCAAAACTGTAAATACGAACGTCAAACTGCTTCAACTTCCTCACAATACCGACTTTCTTTTTAAACGTCTGAACAAAACCAAACTATTCTGCTTTTGAATAAAATGTGAGGGGTTTTAAAGACAGGATGCTGGATGAAAAAGAGACTAATGATGGGTGATAACAGCACCATCTGCTGTGGACCATTTGTTACTCCCACACAAGATCTGGAGACTGAGGATGAATTCATCTGCCGTGTAGATGAATCTAATCAAAGCTGACGAGCTACAGGCATGAAAGAAAATATATAATTAAAAATCGAGTGTTTCTTAAGGCTCTGCATAATTTTCCTTTCATGTGATTTAAGGGATTAAGAAAAGACACAAAGAATGTAAGTACTTTGATTTCAATGAGAAATGGAAAACGGACTGTACATTGTTGAGCATCAGTTCTGTTTTAGTTTTGAAATGAGCAGCACTCAGGTTGTCTTGTGGCTCATCTGGATTGGTCCTTCACTATGGACTGCAGCACCTATGATGGCAGTGACATTTTAAACATAATACCTCTTAAAAATTAATACTGTTTTTGCACAATTATCAGCTTATTTTCTCTTTGTTAATGGCTCATTTACATAATTAAGCTTTTGTTATAAACAAGCTTGAAGCAGCTGTGCATTAAAAGGTTAAAATCAAGCAGAAGCTGATCCAGTTTCTTTTTTTCTAGTAAACTACAGCTTAATATATTGATAGATCAAAACATGCTAAGATGAAATCTTTTGAACCCAGTTGTCTTTGTTCTTCCCGGATCTTGTCGACGTCTCAGTCGTCTTTCTTCTTGATGCTAAGCAGCTGGGAGAAGCTCTGCAGGGCCCAGTACAGCAGCGAGAGGGAGACAAAGGCCTAAACAAAACCAGCACAGGGTTAGAGCTGCAGGCGTAGCGCCGTTTCACACCGACACCCGTCTGCGAGGCGCTGACACCAGAACAATGTCAAACTGGCAGAGGAGGACTCATAACAAACAGGGGATAGATCTATTGAAGAGCTAAGGTGGAGATTTAAATTACTGAAATGTCACAAGTTCAGTTATGAAAAGATACAGAAGGAAGACAACAATAAAAACACAAAATCTTCTGTTTTTGTATCTCTTTTTTTTCTTCGCTTTTTTCTTGTTAGGTCCTTTAGATACGATTTTACCTAAAAATATTTCCAAACGCATATATACATTTTATGTTAAAATTTACTGCGTTTATCCAACAATATTATAACGGTCTTACATTCAATTGAAAGTCGTTTGGGTTTTAATGTTTAATATATATCTAAAAGCAACATGCAAATCCGTTTACATATTCTATAATACAAAGTAACTAAATATAATTTTAAAATGCAAGAACAGCATACATTTAATAGTACCAATATTTATCATCTCACAGGCAAAACCAATTTATTTTTGTCATTTCTGCTTTACTATTTACTGACAAAAATTGCAAATTACATACAAAGACCTTTCAATCTACAATGTTCGCTATGGTAAAACGGCAGCCGTAGAAAGTTTGGTTTCTGTCTCGTTTTAGTCATGAACCACAGATTTAGGGACACAGCGGTGCATATAAACTTTGGTTCTGTACAAACCTCAGTTATGGAGCGGCTACGTAATGTGAGTTTGGTGCAACAAGAAAACGAAACAAATGTAGAAAGTTTGGTTTCCATTTCCTTATTTTGATGGACTCAACAATGACTGAAAAACCAACAATTCTTGTAAGTGGGAAACATTATATTATTCTTTAAGAACATAACAGTTAATTAAAAAATATCAAACATGGGCACATTTATACTTCTTAAGTAGTTAATTTTATTTTAAACTTGGTTTGGGATTTAATTACATCTGCTATGTGTTACAGTTATCATTAAATAAACTAGGAACCTGGCAAAGAGCAGATCTTTTTTAAAATTATTTTTGCAGAGACTGATGGTGGATAAATGTACACAGTTGAGTATGTTGACATTCAGTTTATTTTACATGTATCTGGTTGGGTATTTTACAAAAGTAATCAGATTTACATTACGGTATTGGCTGATTTAAATGGAACAATTATTCATATTTTAGCTGTTTGTAAAAGCTTGAACTTTTCTAAAGAGTCAGATACGTGTTTCTTACAATCAATGATGTTGATATTCTAATGAAGATCTGATGCTGAAATACTAATTAAATCTCCTGTATTTTAAAACAAATTGTCAGCTTGAAGACCAGAAATCAGTTGCTGAAAGTTGTATGTAAAAGACTGATTGCCACCTCTCTTCTTATATCCAAACTAGCTGTTATTCAAAATAAATATTTCAAAAAGAGGATGAAATATTGCTGAACTTTCCTGACAGCTTCGGATTAGTCTGCAAACACTTGTGGAAGAACGAGTTGCTCTGTGAAAGGATGCCACCTGTGCAATAAGCTCAGTCGTATAATTTTCTTGCTACTTCAGATTAGCTGAAGCACAATGATTTAGTCAGAGATTATGGGTTTAACAGTAGCTGTGTTTTTATTAAGCATAGAATTAAGCAATTTGAAATTGGCAAAATAAATTTACTTAATGGAAACAATAAAAAAAAAACTCATGTTTTTTGGTCAAATGTTTACACCTGGTTGTTACAGTGGGATTTCACATGAGTCACATGATTAACAGCCAGATGTTACTACTGGCAGAAATGACAACAGGAACTGGTAGGAGGATGATGGTTTGTTGTTATTTTGTCGGGTTTTTGTAAAACAATGTGGAGCTTTCACAGCATCACACAGTTCATAAAACGTGTGTAATTCTAACGTGTTGAATCCATAGCATTTCTATAAAATAGACTACAATGTCCCCAAAACACCACAAACGTAGCCGTTCACAAGAGGTTTGTTGTTCCAACGCCGGTCTCCTCTGCTGGCTGAATTATGAATATAATCTCATGCAACTGTTTATATTCTTCGCTGACAGGATTTTAAATGACTTATTAAAAGAACAATATTATCCACGTTTGATTTTAATGTATTTTCTCAATGAATGAAAACACTGCAGTTGTGAAATTGTTTTTCATTGACATTAGCAGGATATAAATAAGGATTTGAGTCCATCTGTCATGGAAATGCAGCCAAACGATTATCCACTGTCGCCTCATGCTTGTTCTAGACTGTGGCAAATCAGTGGCTCAATGCAACTGGCTGGACTTTCTTACTGAACTGAATTCAAATACAGCTGCTACCTTATTAATCGCTACAGACTGAACATGGGGTGTGACTCAAGTTTATGTATGAAGAGGATGAGCAAGTACTTTTGGAAGTATTGTATATTTTAATACATATAAAAATGCACAAAACGTATTTATCTTCAAATTAAAAATTAAAACTTTCACATTGCTAAACAGGGAATCCTGGGAGATCTTCAAGCTCTGAACGTTGTTGTATTGCTTTGGAGTGGAATGCTGAAGATAGACATTTTATCTGTTGTGGGAATTAGTATTTAAAACATAAAAAATACATATTGTAATGATATTAAAAAACAATCCTAAAGCTGATATCTGGTTCATGTGGTTACAGATATAGATTATTTGAAGATCAGAAAGATTAATAGAAATCTCCTTAATCTCCCATGTCATCACTTTCTTAAAACAATGGCTGATGTGATTTTGGAAAAAGAAAATCGCCTGGTGTGGTCTCCTGCTGCTGTAGCTCATCTGCATCAAACTTCCAGACATGTTGGCTTTAATAAAGAAATATAAGCTTTACAACACTGAAACAAAGATCACTGGTGAACTATTATAAATGATTTGGACCTGCCTAAGCCATCTTGTGATGTGGACAAACTACAGTAATCTGAATTAAATAAAAATAACATTATTATACATCACAAAGTCAACATGTTATTTTGGCAGCATTGCAAATTTTTGCTGCTATTTTGAATAATAGCAACTAGATAATGTAGGTCAGGGGTGTCCAAAGTGAGGCGCATGGGCCGTTTGTGTACACTGGACTGACTCTGTGCAGCCCCCAACTGCGATGAAAAAATGTGTAGATTCAGAGGGAGATTTAAAAATTACCAACATAATTTTGGTAACAAAATTTTCTCACCAATGTTTAACAAAATGTAAAACCAAGAGACATTTACTGAAAAGCTAAAACAGGTTTTATTCTTTTTTAGACTTGGTTAAATATGGCAAACGTTTGGAAGGAAAGCGTCACAAACCCTGATTTATTCAATTGAGCCAAAAAGAAACTGAAAACTAATTTGTCCAGCTACTTTATTTGCTTGATTTTAGGTTATTTTTTGCTCTGTAACTATTTTGAGTCTACAATTTTGGAAAAAAGTTTGGACACCATTGATACAGTTAGTAAAAAAACTAGGAGAAAATGCTCAGTGTGACAGTAACTGAGACAAAACAGTGAGACCTGTGAAATGCTGCCGGTCTCAGGATGATGTTAAAAATGTGACTTCAGAGGTTAAGTTGCGGGTCCCGTCTCTTGACACTCTCCCGACCGGGTCACAGAGGTCGCAGCCATGGGGGACTCAGCTATTCGGAGAAAACAGGGTGAGGGGGGGGACGCCTCTGCCAGAAACAGCCCTCGCCTCCACCCCTCGCTGAGTTCTGGCCCATAAACTGCATCCTACATCTCAGCCCAAGCCAAAAGCAGAACGCTGTCCGTCACAGGAGAAAGAAGGCAGAAAAAAAGAGACATTTTCCTCCTTTTTCTCGGCACAGCAGCTGTTTTTCTGCGAGGGTTTTGACGTCTCAGTACCTGCTCTGAGATCAGCCGTCCTGCTGTTAGAAAACAGGAGCCAAATGATCGATGAGCCGCAGAAGCCGAGGGGATTCAGTCAGATTAAAACATGGTGGATTTCTCCGTTAGTGACTCTGAGCCACATTCACAGGACATCCTGTAGTTTTAGCATTTATATAAAAATGTTTTGCACTGTCAAGGCAGATGAACACAAATGGACTTGAAGAAAAAGGTCTTAGATAGAGAAATTATTACAGGGGATTTTTATTTAAAATCAAAATGATTTGAAAATGTTTCTGGCACAAAAGCAGAATCTCTCAAATGCATTAATTTCTGATTTTATTTTTTTCAAAAACATGTAATTTTGCTTTTCCCAAGTAAGACAATAGATATTAATGGACGTTTAACGTATTTCAAACACTGAGAAAAAGAAAAAGTAAAAAAAAAGTCTAATTTATAGTAAAATACCGACAGCAAAATTTTACGGTATGAATATGTTATAATTCTGGCCACTACTTAAGCATATATTAGAGACATTTTTGTATTTTTATGTTATGTTATGATTTGGCAAAAAATTGCATTTTAATTTTACTTAAAATGCAAAAAGATATGGTTTTCCTTTTATTTCCAGAATTTTGACAAATATTTATAGTATTTTCTTAAATATTTGTATTTTTATGCACATCACTTATACTTAACTAATATTTTACAGTATAGATATATTAATTAATTAAGAAAAACGTCAAAATATAAAATTTCTTGTTTGACACAAAATGCATCAAAACAGCAGACTTTTTCTACTGCTGTTCAGTACTTAATGTGCATGTTTTATACCTAATTATCAAGGTTCTAATCAATTTCAGTATTTTGCTATACATTTAGATATAATACAACAAAGATAACAATTTAAAAAAATATCTAAACTACAACAAGAAAAAATATGAACTTTTGTTTTAAAACTTTCCCTTCTTCCATTTTCTGCTTGAATAATAACTAATTATTTTTGCATCACATAAAGAAAGAAAAGCACTTTTAAAAAAACTCAAATGAAAAAAGGATTAAAACAAAATGGTTTCTCTGGTAGAAACATCTCTCATCTCTAACTACTAATCGATAGTGAAAAATGTCAGAGTTAAAGATCACTACGCTT